CCACCCCCACCACAACATATAATGGGTGGTGGACAAGGTCCAATGCGCCCGATGATGAATACATTTGAGCAACCTGCTGATGCTCAAACACAACAAGTAAAAATAGAAACGATTGTTTTTCTTTTGTAATCATTTAATTTTGTTTTATTAGGTTACAATTCCACATGAACTTGCAGGCGCTATAATCGGCCCTCGTGGTACACGTATTTCTCAAATTCGTCAGCAATCTGGTGCATCAATTAAAATCGATGATCCACTACCTGGAACGAATGATCGAATTATAACTATTGTCGGTGCTCCTAATCAAATATCTCAAGCTCAATATTTACTTCAAACTGCTGTTCGACAATCAGGTCTTTATCCAGGATAATTCTTCAAGATGATTAAATATAAACAAAAGAAAACGTATATGAACTTGTGTATTGTCTTTCGTAATAAAAGGAGGAAAAAAAACTGAAAAGATTATTAACTTCTTTTTCTTTCTGCTGTTTCATTTTTTATTTGTTTGTGTATAATGATGCACTACTGACCTTTAGTTCATTTTTGTTATTGTTTGTTCTTACAGAAAAGAAAGTTGATTCTCATTTTTTTTCTGTCTATCTATGATTATCAAAAAAAAATATAGATTTGTTCTTAAACAAGATAAACTTGTATTGATCTTTCATTTTTATTATGTTATACATTTGACTATAGAGATTTGACGATGAATACAAATGAAATCGTTCATATGCATCGAATTTGAACATTGTGTTACAACTTTCTTCCTAAAGTTAGACAAAACTTTCAAAAACAAAAAAAAACGAATATGAACATCAATATATTTTTGTCAAATATTTACAATATATCGAAAAAATAGAAACAAAAGTAATACTCGTCTTTCATAAATACAATATCTAATCTATGATTGTACAACAACTGTAATATTATTTTGTTTTTTACAAAGAAATATTTTTAAAAACATCCAACCAGTTAATAAATATAACGGTATTAGACAATGAATATACAAATTTATTGATGAAATTTGTCTATCAAGATATGCTTTATATAATAAATAATTAAATATCATTAAACAAATAATTAATGGTATATGTAAAAATAATTTATGTATAATTAATCGACATGTATATGTTGCTGTTAGACTAGTTCGGTGTTTTTGTTCAAACCATATACGTAATAAAACGATAAGAATAAAATATAAATGTATGGCATTTGTTAAAAATAATGGAAGAAATAAATGAAAATATGTAATTGATGAGATATTCCAATCATAACGTAGAACAATTAGAATTGAATAAATTAACCAACCAGATAGAATAAATAATAATTCAATAGGACGAATACTAAACCATGAATGAAATTCATTAAACGAAAGCATTATCTTTATTATAATAATCAATCAAATCGAAAGAAAGAAAGAAAATGTGAATTGTTTGTCTATCGTTCGATGATTCATCGTTAACATTGGGTAAAATATGGAACAAGATTGTCAAAAAAAAACACATACGTACTATCCTTCTATTCTTTAAATATAAATGGATCCAACTGGTGTTGTTCGACGAGTTATTAATAAACCGCGAGATATTATTCCAAGAAATACAACAATTAATCCTGATGTAAAAATATTTAGCTTTCATATTTTCTTTTAAACTTTTCGATGTTTTCTTCTATTTAGACGTTATTAGATGTACCAGAATTTACGTTTATATACAATGATGCTGATACAATTCATGCAGAAATAGCTGGTAGATATATTTTTTAGGAATATTAATTATTAAATTGATCTTTTTTTTTCTTCAAAGAATTGTATACATATTCCGAAGAACCAGAATTTGTTTGGAATGCTGAAGCATTTAATATCTTATTTCAAGCTAAATGTAAAAGATAAAAATTTGATATTTTCTAGTATATTATTCTTTGTTTTTTAAGATGGTGGAAATAAAAAATGGAAAGATTACTCAAAAGATGAAAAAATTGATTTCATTATTTATTTACTAGAACAATGTGAACTTGTTGATCGAACAAGAAGATGTCAAGCGATGAGAGCTATTCTATATCTTGTACAAGGTATAATCAAATGAACCTTATTTTTATGATAATATGTAATATGAGGAAAGCATCGTTGCTCGTAGGGCCAGATAATAAGTTTTTAGAAAAAAATGAACACTTTGTGAAATATATTATCTCGTGAAGGAAATGTCCGATTGAACTGAAATTTTCAGGAGATGCTATTTATATAGGATACTATCTGTAGACAAGAATTCAGACCAAACTGCGATCACTCGATTTTCATCCTTATTTCAAAATATAGGCTAAAATTTCAATAAATTGGCTGTAACTCGAAGAAAAAGAGCTATTAGCAGCTGTCTTTTTAGGCTTTTACTAAACACACTAGTATCTACTTATGCTGAAAAGCGATTTTCAAGTTGGTGAACTTTCCTCCTTAGTGTAGACGCTCCTATTCACTATAACTCTGTACAATCTAAATTAATTTGATCTTAGGTGTATTTTATCAATGTTCGGATATGGATGAATATGTGTTAAATGCAAAAGAAAATGTTTTATTACTATATACATGTGATGGTGTGCATATATTTATTGATTTATTTAATATGGAATTAAACTAGTATGTTTAATAGATATTCGTGTCATTTTCTTTTATCAATTTTTATAGTTTATGTAATGAAAATAACTTAAAAACAGCAAATAAAAATTTAAGTGATAATCAAGAAATGAGGTAAATAAATGAATTTGTGTTTTTATTTAAATTATATTCTTTTTCTTTTGTATTAGAGTTATTATCAGTATACTTTATACAATCATTGAATATGCACGACAGATCAATGAAGATGCAGATGAACAATGGATAAATTTTCAAAAATTATTAAAACATGAATTATGTATGTAGAAACATATTCTATTTCTTACTTATATTGATAAGAATTTATATTTAATAGCGCATCCAAATGATAATGATGAATTATTTGCAAGTACATTATATCATGCAATATGTGTATTTTGTAATGCACCATCACCACCATTACCTATTCGAAAACTTCTTTTACTACT